GTACGTCATCATCTACTGGGAGCAATCCTCTTATATCTTTCTAGACCAGATAGGGGAGGGGAAAATAGATACCCCGAAGGGTAAGGGGAACAGATACCCTTCAGAGATAAAAAGTCTAACGAGATACTTGATGCAATACGCATGTCAATACAGATACATTTCGGACCATATAGGCTTCATTCCACTTTTCTCTTTTTCTTTTCTTTTTACTTTTACTATTAAGGATTACGTATTACATTTATTACATGCAAATTAATCAAGTGTCTATAATTCACATAGTATACTCGAAAACCATAATAATTCGACTAATTTGAATATAGAGGCATACAAAACAGGCAAAATAACACTCATATTAAATTTATTTATCTAAAAATACTCCTTAAGACGTCGAAAGAAATATTAAATTTCTTACCAAAACCTCAATGATTTCTTCTTCATCACTTTCCATTTTTTCTCTTCTTCTCTCACTAATCTACTATATATATATATCTCTCTCTAAACCTTTGAAAAATGAAAGAAATGAAAGTATGGAGAGCAAGGGAAAGGGGACAATTTACAGAAGTTTGGAACCGTTAGATTCGCGACAAGTAACGAAATCCAGTGAAGAAAGAAGAGAAAAAGATTCTTGGCACGAAAAATGAGAGAGGATGACCTCTTCCACTGGTGGCGGCGGTGCCCCACCCAAGGCAGTGGCGGTGCATTACCCGAGGTGGCAGGGGCTAGCTTGCGCGCACGCAGGCTCCAAGCACACAGGGCCTATCTGCGTAGGCCTGCTACGTGGACAACGCGTGCACAGTGTACGACATCAGTCCGTGCACGAGGTGACATGCGGATGGCCTACCTGTGCACAACAAGATACATGCGCAGATCCTGACCCCGCACTGTGCGCACGGATGGGATGTGCGTGCGTGTGTCAGAGGGGACATGCGCGATGTGCGCATATCCCGTTTGTGCTGGTGTGCGAATGTGTCGTGCGCACTATGCACAAGCCCCGCAGCCACTGTGCACGCATGTGAGTGCAACAATTCCCGTGCAGGCAAACCGCCCTCTAGTGGGATTTTTTTTGCGGGTGGTTTTTCCCCATTTCGTTACTTCCCAATTTTTTCTAATTTTCCTTTTAATTTAAAAATAAAATAAAATAAAAATTAATAAAAATCATGAATCATGATAAATGTTAAATAGCATAAATTAATTAAGTTTAAGGCGGTCAAAGCCCTGAATAAATAGAGTTTTCAAATCATTTTAGCACAGTGATAAGTAGGGTGTTATAGGTTGCCCATTTGGACTTGGAGTTATTTTAAATAGATATTAAAACTGTTTTCCTTAATGGTACATTTTATGAAGAGATATATATGGATCAGCCCATTGTTTTGTCTTAAAAAGTCAAGAAAACAAAGTTTGTTGTCTTAAAAAATCTATATATGGTCTCAAGCAGTCTTTCAAACAATGGTATTTCAATTTCCATGAAGCCATTACTTCATTTGGCTTGTCCATGGTAGATAAAAACCGTTGTGAGGGATTATGTTTCTTTCCTTATACGTTGATGACATACTATTGGCTGAAAACAATATGGACATGATCAATGCCCCTAAGCAGTGGTTGTCCTTTAATTTTGAGATGAAGGACATAGGTCAAGCCAGGTTTGTCGTCGACATGGGAATAATGAGAGATCGTCCCAAGAAGCTTTTAGGACTGTGCTAGGAAGCATATATTGAGAAAGTCTTGAAACAATTTCGGATGTATTACCGTAAACCCGTTGACACTCCTATTGAGAATGGTATAACCTTAAGTCTTGACCAATGCCCAAAGACAGATGAAGAGAAAAAGAAAATGAGCAATGTTCTTTATGCTAGTGCAATAGGCGATTTGATGTATGCCATGTTATATACACAGTCAGACATTTATTTTATGATTAGTTTGGTAAGTCGTTATCAAAACAACCCTGATCCTGCTCATTGGCAACCAGTCAAGAGAATCTTACGATACCTTCATGGTACAAGTGACCTAGTCCTCTGTTATCAATGAGGGGCTTAAGGTTGAAAGAATATTCAGATGCAGATTAGGGTGGTGACTGGGATGAGTCTAAGTCAACCTTAAGATATATTTTGTCATTGGTGGAGGTGTCATATCTTAGTGTAGTAAAAAATAAGATTGCATTGCTTTATCTACAATGGAAGCATAGTATATTGCTAGTTTTCTTACTGTACAAGAGGCGATTTAATTGAAAAGCTTTCTGTAGGATCTCAACATCACCCTTAAAATTGATGAACCTGTAGAAATACATTATGACAATACTGCTGCTATCCAATATGCTCAGGATCCTAAATGCTATAGGAAAACCAAGCATACTGAGAGGCGTTATCACTTTGTTCAAGGACGATAAAAAAAAAAAATTGCTATTAAGTATATATCCACTGGCAAAATGGTTGTTGATCCTTTAACTAAGCCTATACCTAGAGATATTTTTCGGGGTCATATAAAAAGACTAAGTTTGCATAGGGTTTAGTTTTTGAGTGAGATTTGATATGTAATGGACATATATTTTTTGTGTATTGATCATTTATGAAATAAAAGTTGTTATTTTCTTATGAAATGTTCATGAACATAATTACATGATTAGGCACGTAATAACGTCACCAGATTTTATGATTGATCTTATCACACGGATGATCTCCCTAATGCTTGAGTAGCGGGTATGATGAAACTAAATCATATTGGCATTAAGTATGTGCAATATGAATTTTTTTTATACTTGTGTTGTATTAATAACAAAATATTAAAATTTTATAGTCAACTTAGTATGTTTAAGATAAGAGTCTAGAAAGTCGTGTATAAATTATACCCAACTTCATACTTTAGCCTTAGAGCCAAATATTGAGTGTCAAGTCACACATTGAGTATGTTGATCAAGTGGCTCGAGTTAGATACTTGAGTAGTATATGGATTTATGATTCATACGACATAGAAGAGTGACATGCCCAACTTAGTGAGAGTTATGTTGTGATATACATATCATATTGTATGTGCTATATGATGACCGATATAGGGAGTAACAAAATAATTCTCTACTTTATCACTATGTGAGACCTATGGACTCTCATGTCCTCCTTGTATAAAACCTTTCAACTTGGAGCTATCACATGAAGTCAAGATTTGGTATTGCTACTTTAATATGTTTCCAAAGGACACGACCTATAAGGTCTAGCAGCGTATGTTAAGAAAATAATCAAGTTGAGATGGATTGTCATGAGTGTCTAAGGAAGAATCTTTCTGACATCATCACATAAGTCTGGGCAGTTATATTTTGTATATAACTAAGTAATACAATTATGGCATAAAGGGACAGTGTATGCTAACGGTGATGTTCAAATGATATGAGTATTATAAATATGCAAGTATTGTATTAGTTAGATAGTGACTTAATATAACACTACGCGTTGCTTTTTGGTCGCACGCCCCATTTTCCGTGTGAAGCATGAGAGATATGTTAATGTGGTAGTATATTGTAGTTAGTGTGGCTTTGTGTGACCGAGTGGGAGATGTTGCATAAAATACCATTTGTAAAAAGACACGACTCTTCGTGACTATATAAGGGAGAAACCCTTTTGAGTTAAAAGATATGACTCTTGATGAACATATAAGGGAGAAAAAATTACTTATGTTAATAACAAAAGATGAAGATAACACCCAGAAAAGATATATTACCATTCATTCTCTCTCACACATTGAGTTAAACTATAAATGTACTTAAAATTTAGGGTGTGAAGATTACCTGGAACTCTAGTAGCATCCGGAAGAAAACATAGGCATTCAAGAGCGTCAACGATTAAAAATTGTTCTTGGTGGGCAGAAAAGTAAGCATCTTGTTTTATGGCCGCATTAAAATTAGTTCTAATTTTCTAACACTTATATATCAAATAATTTTTAAGCTTTAACTTTGTAGATTGAAGAAATGGATAAAGCATGTGAAGCTAAATAATTTTCAAACTCAATTTAGTCATTCTAATAGGTATACTAATAATTTTTACTCCATCAAATAAATATACTATATTGTTCACAAAATTTGGAAAAGACAATCAAGAAAATAAGTAAAGACTGTTCATTTGGTATCAATTTCACTTAAAATTGAAAATGAAAAATTTTCAAAATGAAAATCAAACTAAAAGATTGAAACTAATTTTGTTTAGAAAAAGTATTTTAATTTAATTCAACATAAATGATGTTTTCAAATAAAATAAACTAATTAAATATACTAACTCTTATGACTGTAAAACTAAAAAGATCATAAAATAAATATAAAATTAAAATTGAAATTAATAAAACAATTAAGAATTAGAGCAGACTAAAAGAAAATCCAACTTCAAGAAAAATATAAATTGAAATTAAGATTATTTTTATTTAACTTCAATACAAAATTTGAGTTCAAATTTAGTATTATCTGTCCAATAAACTCTAAAAACTTTTGAGTAAATTACTATTTTAATTTTTAAACAACTTGTCAGATATAATTACATCTTAGAAGATTTGTTCATCAAAATTGCATATTTAAACTTAATAAAGTGTTTTTATAATATGTTAATACAAAAGTCAAAATTCCAGGATAAACAAATTTTTTGGGTAAGTAAAAATTAACTTTAATGAATTTAATCAGTTTATTTTATTTGAATAATGTAGATGATAATAGCATATATTGAAAAAGACATTAAAAAAAAAAAAAATTTGTATAGTAAATTTTCTATTTTTTTATTCAATTCCTAGTCATAAATAAAAAAACTATAATTTTTAAGTTCTTTTTATTATCCGAATAGCACATGAAAATATGTACAATTTCTATTAAAACAATTTGTGAAAAAATTAAATTGTAATAAGAATTTGGTTTAATTAAATAAATTAAAAATAATCTATTATCCAATTCCTAAATTAGTAATTTATGATTTTTTTAGGCAACAAGTGATAGGGGCGGGAGGGTACTCCCACCCTTTATTTTAACCCCCCAACCTCGCCAGCTCATTAATAAACGATAGGTTATTGTGTTTTGGTCAGGGTTCCTTCTTCCTCGTCTTCCCAATCAGTCTCCCCCGAGTTTCAGACCAAACCCTAACCCTAGAATTCGGCCATGTCGTCTAAGCAAGGTAAGTTCTGTCTCGTGCTTGCGTTATTAAAACCAATTATTCTATTAAAGACCATGTATTGCTTTTTTTTTTTTTATGTTTCAAATCGATCAAGTATGTGGCTCATATATATATATATATATATATGATGCTGTTGATTTATCTGATTGATTGTTTGAGTTTCATCTGTTACTTTCTCTTTCGTTACGTAGGAGGGAAAATAAAGCCTCTGAAGCAACCAAAATCTGACAAGAAGGACTACGATGAGGTAATTTGATATGACAGTCACAGATTGGTTTTTCTTTTGTTTGAAGCGTCATGTGAAGGTTCCTTTCTTTTAAGTCGTTTAAGACGTAATTTGTTGATGTACTTGTGATGATTATATACAGTTGGATGTCTTCCAATGCGAGGAAGTAAATGGTTTTCGAATTTTGACTATTACTTTTCTTAGTTATTTGCTATCATCTTCCTCTTTAATTAAGATTACAAGAGATGCATTCAGTTGTTTAATATCCGTAAGTTTTGCTTCTATGATCTGATTGTAAAGTTCGTAATTTTGATTCTCGTAGACCTTAACCCTCTTTTCCATCTGGACATAAGCTCTGCAAACTGTTAACTTGCAAGTCCTTTCAGGCTTTGCCTTTTTAATACTGTCTAGTATGATATGGATGCTCGGTCCATTTAATTGGTTTTTGCAATTAGTTGGATAACGTGCACTGGGACCTAGGAAACATCAGTTTCTGTTTGTAGGAAGTCTCCGGAGTTTTTTTAATTCTGCAAGACTTTGGGATCTTTCTATTAATCATTTGTATTATGTAGCTTTAGGATGCCTTTGGAAGATGGGGAGATAATTGAATGAAACATTTATGATGTAAAAAGGCAACGTGGATGACCATTTCACCCTTGTTACCCCAAAGGCCCAATATACTTCTTCTTCATTAACTTGATGGAGAGTGAATGGAAGGAAGAAGAGAGTGAAACTGGAAGTTTTATATCACTAAATTAAATTAGCCTTTATGCTTTATAAAATTAAACATTTAATACTCTTCTTGTTCATCTTATTTTCTTTCTATGAGGTATTTTATTTTTTTAAACATTAAAATTTTCTGTTCTCCCCTGTTTTGCCTGCTCCTATCCAAGGACAGTAAATTATTTTATTCTTGTTTCCATTACTATGTTATCTTATCAAAAGAAAGTAATACATTTTACAGCCCATCTCCCTCCATTCGGTTTCATTACTTGGTCATATGCACCCCACTACCAAACAAGAGTTAATTACTTTCTATGACCCACATGTTTCATCCTTGCTATCATTGTTGGTGTCTTTGTAATTTCACATTGATATTTTAAAATGCGCTTGCCTCCGTGCAGCATGACTTGGCCAACCTGCAGAAAAAGAAGGAGGAGGAGAAGGTAAGATTTTGTAGGCTTGCTACTCCATTGTTCTCTTAATGGTGTTTATGCCTGATTCTTAGCGGATTATTTTGGAACAGGCACTCAAAGAGCTTAAGGCCAAGGCACAACAGAAGGGGTCATTTGGAGGTACTGGGATGAAGAAGAGTGGGAAGAAATGAGGGTTTTTAGACCCAAATTGAATTATAGAATTTCAAGTTGTACTTGTTGCAATATGGTAATCGGTTTCAATTTGCATTAACGATAAAGATCTTTATGATATCTTTTGGTCTATGTGATGATCTAGTTTCTTGCTAAAAGTGTTACCTAAACTTTGAGTTTTTATCTCATCATGTTGAATTGAATAACATTAGTTCCATGTTTGTGTTTATGGTGTGCTATCCTCAGATTGTCTTGCACTATTCTGGGACCTCGAGTTGTTTCTTGTTTTTCTTTTTTAGCCTTATCATCCGCAGAAGGATCGGATCAC